CCCTGCCAGGACCCAAAGTGGGTGCTGACCCCATCCTGTGGGTGATGGGTGCCCTGCCAGGACCCAAAGCGGGTGTTGAACCCCGTCCTGTGGGGTGACGGGTGTTGTTGTGCATCTGACAGGACCCACCGTGGTTGTTTTGTGAGGTGTTGGGGGCTGTAGGTACCTGACAGGACCCAAGGTGGTTGTTTCACCCCATATTGAGCTGTTTGGGGGTCATTTTTCCCCTTCCAGGACCTGAATCAGTTGTTTTACCCCATATTGAGCTGTTTGGGGGTCATTTTTCCCCTTCCAGGACCTGAATCAGTTGTTTCACCCCATATTGAGCTGTTTGGGGGTCATTTTTCCCCTTCCAGGACCTGAATCAGTTGTTTCACCCCGTTTTGAGCTGTTTGGGTGTCAATGTCCTCAGGTGTCACCGCTGTCCCTTCCAGGACCCGCCAATTCCCAGCTGATCCGTGCCAGGAGCCCACAGGGTTTAATTGTTTTATCGTTTTTTTTTATTGTTTTATTGCGTTTTATCCTCTTTTATCGGGGTTTATTTTATTTACCAACTTTTATTTCCGACTCAGCTGCGCCTTCACCCCAAATTTCAGCCCAGTTCTCTGCCCCCATCCCCTCACCTGAGAATGCCCGGGGATGATAAATGAGGAAAAAAAAGAGAATTTAGCACCAAAATGCTCGTTTTTTATATCCCACTGTGGGGGTTCAAACACCTTTTGCTGGTGCTTTTCTATTCAAATTCACCATTTTTGTCTAAATTAAGATTTTTTTTTCCTTTCTGAATTAAATTTCTTGGATTTTTTTTTTTCCTAGTTTGGCCTCAAACTGATGAGGGGAAAAAGCATCTCAAAGCTCAGAGGGGTCAGTTTGGTTAAAAAAATCAGCTTTAAAGTGAAGCCACTCACTTTGAAAAGGCTCAAAAGTTGATAAATTCAGATTTTAGAAGCTTTGTTTTTGTGAAAAAGGTTAGAAATTAGTGAATTTGGGGGTTACTTCCCCCTTTTCCCCAAAAAATCCTTAGAAATGGCTTAAATCTGGGGTTTGGAACCTTTTCCTTGGCCCTGAAATGCTCACAAATTGGTAAATTTGTATTTTAGACTTTTTTTTTTTACCCCCAAATGTTCAGAAATGGGTAAAAAAAATTGGATTTTGGAGCTCCCAAGAATGAGTGAATGCAGATTTTTAGAACAATTTATGTTTTTGGAAAAGCTTGGAAATGGATAATTTTGGATTTCAGGCTCCTGCTTTTCCCCAGAATTGTTTAAAAATGAGAAAATTTGGGAGTTTTCCCCCCACAGTGAAGAATTGCTACATCTGGATGACAGAGCTCACAAAAATGCTCAAAATTGGGCAAATTTGGATTTTAACCCCCTCCAAAATGCTCAGAACTGCTCTGATCAGAAAAAAAATCAGAATGCTCTGATTTTAGAGCTCCCTCTTCTCCTGAAAATGCTCTGGAATGAATAAATTTGGAATTTAATCTCTTTTTTTTCCCCCCAAACCCCTCAGAAATGGGCAAATCTCAACTTCTACCTGGGCTTCCTTTGACTTTTTCTGGACTTTTTGGCCGATTCCTGATTTATTTAACCTCTGATCCCTCAAATATTCCACGTGGGACACACAGACACCCCAAAACCAGCCCTAAATTCACTTTTCACAACTTTTCCCCCCCCAAAAAAAAACAACCCAAATCCCCATTTTTACCCCTTTTTCCTCCCCCAAATACCCCCAACCTCATTTTTTTATCCTTTTTCCCTCTCAGAACAGCCCCAATCCCCATTTTTTAAAAACTTTTTCCTCTCCCTAACCTCCCCAAAATCCGGATTTTTATTAACCTTTCTCTCCCTCGAGCAGAAGTTTTGTCCAAATTTCACCTTTTCCCCCCCGGATTTGAGGTGAAATCCCATTTTTTCCCCATTTTCCCAGCGGGAAACCAACTCCTCCCCCTCCTCCACAGCTGAAACTTGTTGGTTTTGGGTTTTTTTGTTTTTTTTTTTAAATCCTTTTTATTCTTTTTTTTCCCGATTTTTGCCGTTCCCAGTGGAGAACAATGGCAAGGCCGCTGCAGCTCCGGAGCCGGGGTTGGAGGAAAGCACCAAAATCCAAATTTTTATTTAAAAAAAAACAAAAACAAACCCCAAAACACCTCAAAAATCCAACCTCAACTTGAGATTTTTCCACCGAGTTCCGGAGCAGAGGCCTGGCCGGCTGCTCCAGCGCCAGGAAAACTGGGGGAAAACACCCCCCCAAAAAAAAAAAAAAAAAAAATAAAAAGAAAAAAAAGGAAACTCGGGGATTTTTGCAGCGTGGGGGAAGCGGCGCCTCACTCCCCGCTGTGCCTTTTCCCCCGCTTTTTCCCTTTTCCCCCCATTTTGGAGCTCCCCTCCCTCTTTCTTTGTTCCAACTCCTTCCTCCCCTTTGCCGGAATCACTCCCCCTTTTTTTTTTTTTTTTTTTCTTCCTGCTAATTGTGTTGGCCATTCTGCAATGCGGGTAATGCAGTGTTAATTACAAAGTACCTACAAGCTACCTACACTTATTTTTTTTTTTTTTTTATTGTGGTTTTCGCTACATTTTTTCCATTTTTCCACCTATCCCTCTTCTTTCCACCATTTCCCCCTCATTTCTCCCCTCATCCACTCGAGGTTTTACTTTAGGATCGCGGCTCCCCTCCCCTTTTCCTCGTGTGGAATTTTTTTTTTTTTTTTTTTTTTTTTTTTTTTTTTTTTAGCTTTTTTCTCCCCTTTTTTCTCGAGGTGTGGGAGCGTCACGTGTGTGGAAAATTCTGGTTGATGCTT